CTACATGATAACTACACTAATTTATTAACCATGCCATATGCAAAATGCGTCTTAATTGAAAAATAAAATATTTGTTTCARAATAGAATATATGACAATATTTAAATATAATATAGTGCAACAGAGCGACATCCACGACTTACCCGTTTTTTTTAAATGTTGTATTATAATGACTTCAAATTAAATAAACGATATCAAAAAAATTAATAATGTTTTCTCTTTTATAATTTTATGAAAATGCTTGTTTACCACTATTAAAGATAATATTATTTGTATACATATACCTAGTAATATTGATTATAACTTATACGATGATTTTATTGAAATTTCGTTAACCCTAATTAGACATTTTACAGGGAATAATAAATTACAATTCAAATATATTTATCTATTCAAAAATGATTAATGATGTGTGATTGTGTGAATGTGTTTATTAAAGGAGGTTGGATTTGTACACTTGGAATTTAATTTTACGGACCTACATCAATGCAATCGAATTGTGTTACAGTTTATGGCGAGCAGAATAATATACTATCACTGTGTCATTTGTGTATACTGTGTCATCTATTCTGTTTAGAAAAAGGGCAACATGAAACGCTCACTTTAAAATACATACAAATGGTGCGGAATGTCAGTGATCCAATCGTTGCTTGCTTGCAAATTTCAATTAACCACATGATTCCATGGTCATCCCATGATCCCATGATCACTAGGTCTTTTTTTTTGTCCCTCTGAATGAATTTCATTAAGCTTTCAGTATGTTTTTCCAATATCAATAGGTTATCAGAATAATATAATTTACTCAAAATGCATACATAACATGCTGCCAAGTTATGGCCAAATTCCATCAATATTAATGATCTTTATATGAAAGGCTTCCACTGATTTTTTAAATCCTTATATCTATGCTTCCTCTCAATATTTAAGTTTGAAACAAAGATTAAGCTTAAGTTTAGGACAAATTTGAACCCTAGGTMTTAAGGTTTTTCAATAGGAGAGTAGTTCAAAGTTTGAATTTTTGACTGAATGAGTGATCATCAAAATTATAACGTACTTCCCATATACGTAAGTGAAAATGTGAACATTGGAGTAAAACTAAAGGGAAATTTAAAAAATTTCAATTTTCTCAAAATTAGTTGCTCTTTAGGATTATATAGAGATGTATTTTTTACATTTTACATGCATATTCAACGATCAAATGTTAACATGAGCGTTGAATCCAAATATTTTATCAGTTTTGATGACAAGAGTAAATTCAGCCCTTAGTTAAAGTATTAGTGGTTGTGAATTTGGTTTTTCTTATACTAATGATGGCAATATTATCTGAGCAAAAAAACAGTGGGTAGATACGTGTAATTTGATACAATAAGACTTAAGTACCTACCCTATTGTGTAAAAAGGAAAATCTAAGCACTACAATTTTTTCTATTTTAATGCCATTTAATTAGGATAGTTTTTTTTTATTTGAAGGAAAATATGGGCTTCAATAACTTCGGTTACTAGCCTGATATTAAGTTTTACAAGGTCTTTCTTAAGATTAGATATTTGATATTATAATATCAAATATGATATATATATATATATAT